TGTGACCCTAAATTTTTTTGTCAGATTTGCTTATATAACGATAGATCCCCAGAGGTGACTAGTTTTCCAGGAAGTAGGTCAGTGAGAAACAGAGTTCAGACCAAGAACTCCAAACTTATACAGAATTCAGACCCAGTTTTCTCTCCATGTCACTCTGATGTGTGTTCCCGAGAATGTGAATGAATATGGATGTGGGCTCTTGTAGCAGCGATGCCAAACTGCTTTGGGAGTTAATCTTGACAACAACTAGATTGCTCAGGAATATCTATTTTGAAAGTGAGTTCATTTGCATTAGGATTTCTATACCAGTCACTAAATTAACGCAGTGGTCTTTGGTGACATAACATGCATTTGCCTTTCCTGAATGTCGATAATTAAAATTCTGTCATTTGTACCTGAAGACTGCATCTAGAGAAAAAGTTTATGAAATTCCACTTTATGCTGAATTCTGTGACACATTTTGCATAGCGTTAGTTTTATACTCTGTTAAATATGGAAACTTTATGTCTAAGTGTTGCTCAACCATATATAGAACATCAGACCAGGCAAATAATATATGAATTACCTCATGTGGATTCATTCCTCTTAAAAACTGGATAAAATGAGTTCTCTACTCTGACTCCCACACCTATAGCCATCAGCTGGCCCCACACTGAGACGGAGTAGAGAACACTAAGGTTGGCTCTTATTTTATTTATCATGTTGCCTAATGGAAGCCTTGACTCGTGGTTCTATTATAGGGGAAGAGTGAGCCAGAGGCCTCTTTTCTGTGAAATCCTTTTTTCTTCTACTGTCCAATGGCCAGGAACCAGGGAGCACCATTGGAGACATTAGATTTCTAGGCAGTTCCTTGTAACTTCTGCCGCTTGCTATATATACTCTTTTTAGTCCATGACCATATAACTTTGTTTTTTCAAAAGATATAGAGGTTCGTTTTCATTTCTGTGAAATGCTATTCTGAAAACATCCTGAATCCCAAGCGCTTTGATGAAAGTTGCTGCTTGTTAGTAATCATTTCAACAATAAGATAAATCTACAACTTCAGCTCTTATGTCTAAATCTTCTCATATTTTGCATTTTGATTTTTAAATAATGTCCAATACTGCCCTTTTCCCAAACATTTTATGTTTTAAAAATATAACATCACTATAATATTTTTCTATTTGTCTCTCAGATTCTTAAAATCATATTTTCATGAAGCATGTTATATTAGGAACTAATGCATGACTGATTACTTGAGAGGAACGTAGGTTAATCATAAGCAGAGTCAGATTTATCTAAAATTTCAGAGGCCAACTTTGAAATCCTGAGCATAAACTAAGAATAATGTCACAATGCATTACCTAAGAAAACAAATTATTTGAATGAGACATTTATTCCTTCAAGAACTGTAGCGCTTAACTTATTCTCTCGGGAACTATAGCTCTTATTTTTGAATTAACCAACTTTAATACTGGAAATTATTCTTGGAGATGAAGTTGGTTTTTTTCAGGTTTAAAAGGTGAATATGATTAATGTCCCTGACTGTACTTCGGTCATGTAGTTAAACTAGAACATGTTTCTAGCAATTAATTCACAGTGTCATAAATACAACTTTTACATCACTAATTTAATGCCCTAAAGAGCAAGAAAACATGCAAACTTTTCTGAAAGCTAATAATAATAAAAAGGTCAAAATGAAAGTAAATATTAAATTACTTCTCTTGCCATGAAGTAAGATTTTAGAGTATCACTTCCATGTTCTCAATACCACCCTTTTCATATTCTAGCTCCCACAGAAATGTATGTTTGCTTGCTTTTGCTATGGTAGAAAAATAATGCAAATGGTTTCAGGGTTATAAATATGTAATAAAATTATTTTAAATATAATTGTTATGGTAATATTGTTTAGAATATACATAAAGGAGAAACACTGGATCTCAGAAATGTTTCTATATTTGATATTGAAATAAATATTTCATTACATAAATTTTATTTTATAGAACTGATTGTAATGACTTCTTTAAGTTATTTCCACCTCTCTGTGTGATCACCTTGTACTACTTCTGTTTCACCCAAAACAATTAATTTCTAATCCTAATACTTAGTATATCTGTAAATTCAGTTAACAAACATTTTTCTCATTTATGTTTCGCCAGCCTATCCGGAATATTAGGGCAAATAACCATAGCTCTACAATTTTCATTCATGTATAGGAGATCCAGTTTATAATATATGGAATGTATGCACGCGCCATAAAAATTGTATTACATTTGATAGGATTTCAGAAAGTGATGACTTTTTTCATGTGGGGTTATCTGTGAATGTTCAAATTTAAATGTGCCCTTTGAGTGAGACAAAAAACAATCTATCAGATTTTACTAAGTGGATATTGGATATTCCAGGTAGAACAGATGGCTGTGTTAAGTCACAGAAGTGTAAACAGGTTGAATTTGTTGTGAAATCTCTAGAAGATCAAAAAGTCACTTCTCTGACCTTTCTAGTATGTTTTATAGAGGAGGGATGTAAGACTCAAAGGATAAGTCACCCAAGCTTGTGGATGTTTGAGCTCAGCAAGAAGGGGAATCATGTATGTATGTACATTCATATTCATATGCAATACCTATATTGCCTATTGCGTATCTTAATATATAAAATATGAATATATGTTAGATAGGACAAACACACATATCTATGTATGTATATGTATGTATATGTGTGTGTATACATATATATTCATCTAAGCATGAATATACAAATGAATTTGGAGAGAAACAGAAGACAGGAAATATGAAGACCAATTTGTTATTTACAGACTGTAGCTATATTTTTTGTTAAACACATAGGGTAGGTGGAGGAGTAAATTACAGTAGAAATGGAAGCGTCTTTATTGTGAAAATAAAAACAAAGGAGAAATGACGATAAAGAGTTACTTTATGATGAAGGGCAGGGTTATACTATATTTTATGGATGAAGAAGACTGAAAGACTGCTATGATTGAATTTCTCTTTTCATGAACAATACTCACATAAGCATTTGTGGTGGTCTGCTGAAGGCATGTGGCAGAGAGTGTTCATGTAAAGTCTCCTGGGAGTAGAAAATGGGTCCAAAGTGATAGGATTCCATGACACTTTTGTTTCGTATGAGTGCTCACATGAAAATATATTAAACTTTAGCTCCTAAATATTGCTCTTCTGGGCTGCTCTGTGTGATTTGATGTTTTTATGAACAGGTTGTTTACTAGTATTGAAAACACTTGTCAGCATAACACATTCTGGGTTTTGTGTGTGTTTGTTTCAAACCTCCACCTGGATGTGCCAGGAGACTGGTGGGGAAGTACATGTCTGGCATCTCCCGAGAACTCTCTGTGCTCAAGGAAACTTGACTTCATATTGTACATAGTGAGGGCTTCTGAATTTCTCCTGGAACATAAGGATGTGTAACTAAAAACTAATAGACAAAACTCTGAAGACTACTGCTAGTAGTTTCTTTATAGTAAAAATGTAAAACCCTTAAAAATATTAGTGGTCAACTATCTACCAATATTATAAACTACTAATAGTAATAATCTACCAATATTAGTAATAATCACCTAACAATTTTGGGTCACTGTCATCTACGTGAAAGAGAAATATTGATAGGAAAAGCACAATAGTTTGAACCAAAAGAACAGGAAAATTGAGAATTACTGTCTAAAAGGGCATGTGCCCATTGTTTCAGTCCTGACCCCCTAGAGCCGCCTTCTGCACACACCAGGCAACCTCCCACCCACCAAGATAACTGAAAACTTTGTGTGGGGGCACACCCGCTCCAGAGCAAGCCCCAGAGCGGGCCCCACAGCTGCTCTGCTTTGGCCCCATCACTTCAAAAGGGTCCCTGCTGAAAATGAGCCTTGGCATGTGGGCATCTGTCATTCGGGCCGAATCCAGGTAGTTTTACAATGTGGATTCTAAATGTCCTCTGAAGCCTAAACATCGATGACTGTGCAAAGGATGTACCCTAGTAAGAAAATAGACTGGTGCTATGTTTGGAAGTCCTGACCACACTGCTCTAGGTAGAGATGTAAACCATGGAAGCTTTATTATTAATGATCCTTAGGAGCCTGCACCTTTTTTTTTTTTTTTTTTTTTTTTTTTATACAGGCATGCTTTATTTATTTATTTATTTATTTATTTATTTATTTATTTTGTTTGTTTGTTTTGTTTATACATGCACTGGGTACAGTCAGAAGCGCGGGAGGGTGAGAGAATTCACCAGAGCCAGAGCGGGGAGCAGAGCAGGCAGAAGGACCGAAGTACACTGCTGAGGGGAGCAGCGGGCGGCAGGAGAGGTCTGCGCGCCATGTGGGACCCTCCTCCGGAGGCTGGGAGCAGCCGGGGATCGAACCGGTACCGCAGAGGTTGCGGGCAGCTTCGCAACCGAGTGCTCAACCGCTGCGCCACCGGGGAGGCCCAGGAGCCTGCACCTTTAAAAACATTTAAAGAACCCCCCCTTGATCTTCTTATTGTATAGCATTCAATTTCTCCCATAAATCTACCCAATTATGATTATTTTTCTTTTACTGCCTATCCGTGATGATTTCTGAATATTTTGTTTTCTTTATAATTGAGTTGCTTTATATATTTAAATCAAGAATGTTGTTATTATCAGAAAACCATAATTATCAACTCTGATAAAGAGAAGCTATCACTTTGAAGAATCTGAGGGCAAAGAACATTAAAGTCTTTCTAATAGTGACTAAAAACTGGAGACACGTGATTTGATTAAGATTGTGTTGACTAGGAGACATCAACAAGACAACATTTGGATTTATAGTGATAAGCACATGTAAATTTTAGTGATCAGTACTTTGTTTTATTAACTGTGTTTTACTTAGAAGTAATGTACCCACGCACCATTTCTAATCTTTGTTTTAAAACTAAACATATAAGCAATTCTCCCCTTTCTCATAATTCATATAATATTTAAGACTTTTATTACACTGTTTTTTTAATTTGAAAAAACTTTTTCTTTCAAAATAGATGCTCTTGAATATTCTCTTATGAACATCTGTGCTACCATCTACTGGAAAGGTAAGTACATATCAGCAATCACATTCCTAACAGCCATTCAAAACAGACTACAACCAATTTTGAAAAAACGCAAGATGTATCATTTTTGGTGATCAAAATGTACCAATTAATAATAAGTGATTTCAGGTATCATTCTGAAAAATAGCATAAAGATAGACACTATGCCAACTGCATGTGTCCTAATCCTGGAAATCTTTAATTGCGTCATTATTTAGCACTGTATTGTTCACTAAACTTGCACTTTTATGATTTTATTGTTAGTTTTTAAGTACGTTCTAAAGCTAGAGGTTAAATGAAATTTGGATAAAGTGAATTAACTTTTCACCTTTCAATGTCAATATACTTTCATTTTTTTAGAGGCATGTTTTTCAAAGAAATAATGCTCAGATTATCAGTGAGTGTCAGCTAAAGCATCTGGCACAGAAATGTAAAATGAGCACAATATGTGGAGCGGTGGGCAGGTGAAGCTTGTTTTCATGGACTTTCAAGATGCAGGGGTCTGTGGTAGTGGCCTATGGCTTGGAGTCTGTGTTGTGGGGGAGGAGAGACGGCCAGACACACACACACTGTGTTGTCCAAGGCTGGACTCACATCCTGACTCCTCCACTGCAAACCAACAGATGTCGAGCAACGTAAAAAAAATACAGCATTTCTGATACCAGAATCCAAATTTTCTTGTGAGCATCAGAGATAATCGATATTAATATATGTGGGATATTTAACAAAATTACTGGAGGGTAACAACTCACAACTATTTTACAAGTATCTTTGAATTTATTTCACTTTCATAATGGTTCTGCTGGGCCAGCACGTGTTAATAACTGTGACTGCTCATAGGAGTTCTGGATCAGCCAGAATTCAGAACATTTTGTTTAAATATGTGAAAATGAAAGTTGAGTTAATTCTTATCCCCAATGTATTTGAGACCAAGTGTGTATCCCCCCAGTGAGACCAAGTGTGTATTTTGTGTGTACCTCTCTGCAAGATGCAGTAAAGTACAAACACTACAGATAAAAACATAGAATTAATTTTACATAGATGAAGATTAGTTTCAATAATTAAAGACTTTCCAATTAAGTGTTGGGTAGCCACATCCTAAATTTTGACTGTTGTTACTGTTTGTTGTTACTGTTTATTGTTAAATAGGATCATTTGAATTTAGGATTGGTTTGCAAGACTTGATTTCTTCTGAGTAGAAATGTGTATTTACTGAGACCCTAGAAATGGTAGAAAGCCGCTACTTACAGCCAGGCATATTTAAGGAAATCAATATTTTTTACGCATGTGTCCAAAGTGTATAGTTGGAAATCAGCATTTAGTGATCTTGATTAAACATTAGAGTAAAAAAAATATATTCTCAAATGATACAATCTGTAACCTCCTTTATCAGACGTAGAAGTTACAAACATATGTTTGCTATATATTGTGGCCAGTGTGGTTGGCAAGTAATAAAATGAATATGTTGATTTATAACATTGGCATCTAGATATCTGCCGTTGCTATAATTTTTATGAGATTTTCTCACTGCTATTGAATGTTTTTAATGTGTTCTATTAAATTAATCACGTTTATGTGTTTATTTTAGTTTGTAATAAATTTTAATTTGAATACCAAATTTAGAAGACAATTTATGATATTCTATGAATCAGTCAAGTGTCTAATTCATACAAAACATCAGAGCAGTGTGAAATACCATAAAATACATAAATATGGAGAACATAAAAATCATCAAATTAATAATATGCTGTTTTATTCCTTGATATCATCCTTCAAGAAACTATTATCCAGGTAAGTGAAAATAAGAAATTAATTTTCAAGCATATTTATGTTTTAGTTCCTGGAGTATATGCTATTATAATTAGTATCAAACTGTCTCCTTTTGTGAGCTTTGTTCACTCAATTTTGATAATATCACTCACTTAATAGGTACCATTTTATGAATTCATATGACTTATATCTTAGCAGATTTAGTACATTTTGTGTTCTTCCCTACATGCTCAAACTTAATCCCTATAATGCATCTTTTTCCCTCTAATTCCCAATCATCTTTATTTTCTATCATAGATCAAAAAAAAAAAAAAATGGGTTGATATAGGGTATAAATGACATTACCCTGATCACTTAAACTTCACTTCCCAAGGTGATAATGCATGGGTTTTACTTACTACTGAACAGTTTGGCAATTAAATAAGATATCATATGTAAATAGCCTAGCAGAGTTCCTATCTAGTAGTAGCTCTGTTATGCGTGTTCGTGCTAACCTTTCATTCCTGGGAGAAAATTATTTGGACATTTTGTTAAATGATTCAAGTAACTGTTATGCCCTGTCCTGTTCTCATTTACACCACCTGGGGGGATACAAAAATGAAAGATAAATGGTCCTTAAGTTGGGGAATTCTGCCTTAGAAGATCAGTGAAGACATACTCTAAGCTGCAGGTCCACAGTAAATAGACAGTATATTCACTCTCCATGTTAAAATTATTCTTTCCCCTAGCAAATCTCCATTTGAAGGCTCTGACTAAGTAGATTTGAGCCCAAGTAAGCTTATCTTTGGGTCTGTATGCATCCCCATAGTCAACACCAGACTCAAGTGGTTTATATTTTCTTGACCCTAACATATCCAAGAAGCAGTCCTCCACACATATAACTTTAATATAGCTGATTAATTTTGCTGAAAGACTGAAATTTAAAAAAAAAATACACAGAAAAGCGCTAGACCTGAAGTTGGCCGTGTCCTTAGAGCAGCCATGTTTTAGTGTGTATATGTTTGTTTTCTGTTTATACTTAAATTTTATCTTTGGTGTTTCCCAGCATAGAATAGTTCTGTGATCGTGCACCCTTAATAACAAGAAATAAAGATACAGTTGCCACCGTCGTTATCCGCTCCTACTGTGAGTAAATGAGTTTCTGATAAAAACTCATGAGAGGCAAACATCTTCCTCCAGAATGTGAGGTTCCATTTCTGCTGCCCCTTCTCTACGGTAAATGACACTTTGGTGTCTGATGGAGCTCATTTGCCTCTTAGGTATACCATCCTCACTGAAGCGTCCCACAGTGATATTAGCTTGGATTGGAAGCTCCATGAACCAGTGCACAGCATCCCCAGTTCTATGCTATGAGTAGCACTAAATTCATTGTTAAAACTGTTTCAGTTTGACTATTGTCCAGGAAAAAATATTTTTATAGGAACAAAGGCAGAACATTACGGGCAATTCAAAGTTGGGGTATATATTAAATTTTTCCTATAAATTGCATACCTGGTATTCCTAATCTGTTCACTTTTCTAAGAACTAGTTGTATAAAAGTTGTTTATTATCTCTTTCTCTGTGCAATTGTTGCTATTTGCTTGACTTGGTAGTTTTTTAAAAAAATTCTGTGGTGCTCTTCTCGTACTCTCTGTTGCTGATTTTGTTTCCAACCATCCTTCAATTTTCTTCTTGGTCATGCAACAGTAGAGGAAAGCTGAAATAAGAAAGCTGCCTTTTTAAAATTATAAAACTTTTCATCCCATAGGTTTAACTGATATGCCCTCCTTCTACTTCAGGTAGGAAAAAATCAGATTACTAGGATTTATTTATGCTCTCCAACCAAGACAATCTATTTCAAGGAAACTTAGGTCACATTAGAACCCTTGCCTTTGTATCTGTACAAAACATTAAGATAAAGGAAGGCACCAAAAAAAAAAAAAAAAAGAACAAAAATATCACTAAAACCATAAACTTAGAATTGATTTTATTATAAACAGCATATTTATAAAATGGTTTCAGTGGAGCTAAATAATTACAACCGTGTGCTTCTGTGTGTGTTGAAGACAGGCGGTAGCCAAGGTGGTGCCAGGAGAGAAGAGTCCTTAAAGAACCTCTGTGTAATTGCTTTAGCTGCTCTGGGGGAGCTTACTGTTAAGGGAATCTTACATATCTTTGGTCTCACATAACTCAGGGCTAGAATCGTACTCACATCCCTCAGAACATCCAGGAGCCCATCCATTTTAATGATCTTTCTGAATTTGGAGGAATTAGTGGTTCATAGCAAGACAGTTTGGAAATGAGTCTGAAAATAAAGAAAATAATAAGCAGAGACATAAAAGTTGTTTCTTAGAATTGAATGGAAAGGAGTAAAGGTGAATTAAGAATCAGTAGAGAAGTGAAAAATGGTGTTTAGATACAAGGGAAGACAAAACAGAAATGCATGGAGCTCAGAAAAGGAGGACGAGGAAAAGAAGGCAGAGGGAAGGATTTGGCGCCTCGTGGTCACTGTTATGTTTGAGGATCCAGCCTCAGGGCCTCTGCATGCTGGTACCTTCTGCGTCTCTATCAACAAGAGTTCAGTTGATGTTAGAAGGTCTTTCTTATATACTCCAATATTTGCGAGCTCTTCTGTTGGATAAGTGTGTTCTCCTTAACACCTTGTTATGTGTAGTCTTCAGGCCGTCAGTGGCATCCTCACCTGGGAATCTGTTGGAAACAGGGACCCTCAAGTCCTACATGAACTTACAATCTGCAGTGTGACAGTGTCACAGGAACCCAAATAATCTGTAATACACACAAATACTTGATCAATACCACATACTACATACTTTAAAAGTTTAAATGTTAAACCACTTTAAAATGAATTTCAAACCAGAATGATTGAGGTAGAGCTCTTTGAACATGTGGATGAATTTTGCACTAGAAAGTCAGGATTATATTAGGACATGCCGTGGAGAGGCTGGAAGACTATGTGAACCTGAGGACTACAGGAGATACTGCTGGGGGCTGGTGCCAACTTTCCTCCGGAGATAGCAGTCACTGGATAATTATCAGTGCCATCCACAAGCCTTTGAAACAGTGATTGCCGTGCAGCTGGGAATGTAGAGATCTGTCTTTACCCTGCACCTCTGTGCTGTATGTGGGACTACACGGCACACAGAGACATTTCAGATTATTGCAAGTGTCTCATTGAACTTTAATTGCAGATTTAGGGGAACATATGGAATTATTAAACTCTCGGGCATCAGTTT